CTGTTTCCTTTAAGTCCCTCCTCCTCCTCCAGATGAAGAGATTCATGTAAAACTCAAGGGTCGTCCATGTCCCTCCCGGCCCTGGGATCTCCCAGTGGCCTCCTCAAAGTCCCAGCCCCTGGGCACTGTGCTCAGGGACCTGGTGACCCACACTGTTCTCTTCCCTCCCCTCTCCCTTGGCTGCCCCTCATCCCTGATGCCCAGTGGTCTTGACTATAGACTGCCCCGGGACCCCCGCGTGCTCCCCTCTGCTCATGCTTTTGCAAAGGCTGCCGCTTCTTGGCTGCCTGTCGTCTCTCTCCTTTAAGACACACTCACAGGTCATCTCTTCAGGAGCCCTTCCTGAACCACCTGTGCTGCCCAGGTTGGCCTCAGGGACCCACAGCCACCTCTGTCTTAGGCTTAGCAGCCACCTGGGACTATCACATGTGGGCCACAGGGCCAGCACACAGGTGGTCCCTGGGGACACTGCTGCCTGTCTCTGCCCTCTGCATCTGGGAGCACCTCACTCTTCTCTTTACCTGCATCCCCAGCACCCAGACTGGAGCCTGGCATGGGGGAAGGGGAGCTGACCCTGACTAGGCACTTGGGGAATCTGTCAACAGCGGGGTGGGTGTGGGAGAAACCCTGGGGTAGGGTGGATTCAAATGGGGGGGGGCTAGTGAGGCCCGGACAGGGCTGTGCTGGAATAGGGGCCTTTCTGTCAGGAGCAGGTGGTCCTCCTTCATGCCTCCTGTCTCTCACAGCCACCCTCCACCTGATATTTAACTCTCAAACTCCTCAGAGGCAGCAGTGAGCTCTGTCCGTTTCTGCTCTTCGCTCTTCCTGACCATCACTGCTCTGCACGGGCACCGGGTGAGCGCGCTTCCCTATCCTTCCCTCGCCTCCACTCATGTCCCCCCTTGCCCAGGGATTCTGGTGGGTTTGGTGTACATGGTTTGATGCTTCGTGGATGAGATTTTGAATCTTATTTCCATCCAGGAAGGTCCTGCCTTCCCCTTGGGAGATTAAGTTATGAATTAACTTAGACTACTACAGAATAGTATGCAGAAAAGGGTGGTGCTGCCCAGTGGTTACCAAGCCCCGGGTTTAGAATCCCACAGATGTGGATGTGAGCACCAGCTCTGCCATTTACATGCTGTGTGATCTTGCTCAATTTGCTTGTACTCTCTGAGCCTCAGTTTCCTCATATTAAAGGGACATAGACAATATCCGAACATCCTCAGAGGTGGTTGTGAGAATTAAACGATAGAACACACAAAGCAACTGGAAAAGCGTCCAAGTATGCTTACATATCAGTGGACCTAGGTGTAGAAATCTCTGGTAACAGTGTCCAGCCATGATAAGTAGAGCCCATCAGGGGAGGTGTACAAGCAAACATGGATTCATCCATTCATCAGCCAACATCCATAGAGCACCTATTATGTGCTGGGGTCCTTGCTGGGCACGGGACCAGGTGCAGCAATGAGCAAAACCAAGCGTGATCCACATGCTCAGGAGGATGGTGACGTTTCATCAGGTGATAAGCACTGGGAAGGAACGCACCCAGGGCTATGGGGTACAGTCTGGAGGCCAGGGAAGACTGCCCCGAGGAAGTGACATTAAGCTGCCGTTGGAAGAGTTAACTGGGTCCAGGAGGGGAGGGGACAGAGAAAGGTTCTGGACAGGGGAACCTGGTAGGCAGGTCATGGGCAGGAATGTTGCATATTTGAGGACCTGGAAGTTGGCTGGAGTGGCTTGGGGCTGAGAGGGAGGGAGAGGGAAGATGTCAGGAAATGGGCTGGAGAGATGGATGGGGGGGCAGACCCAGTGCTTGGTAGGCCACACGAAGCTGTAAGAAGCCATTGAGACCTTTTAACAGGGGTGGGGGTGACGTGGTTGTATTCCTGCTTGGAAAACCTCCTGGGGAGAATCAATGGACACAACCAAGATGGAGACAGGCAGACAGAGGCAGGGAACCAGGTCAGCGCTTACTGAGGTCCTGGCAAGAGACCACGGTGTGTGGAAGGGACTGTGTGGGAATTACTGGCATGAGCCCGGGGGTTGAAGCTGTGAGAGCCATGCAAAGTTGAGGATACAGGGCTCTGACAGTCTCCCCTCCAACTCTTATGGTCCACTGTAGTAAAACGAGGTAGCCAAAGAGTGGAAGGAGTAACCAGGGAACCAGGAGGAAAACTGGGAGAGTGTGGTGAGAAGAGAGCAGAAGTTTCCATGGGGTTAAGTTTGGCCAAGAGATGGGGCTAGATGAAGATGGGAAAGTATCCTTTGGTGTTCCCAACAAGGAAGTCATTGATGGCCTTCCTGAGAGCCACAAAGAAAGATGGCAGACATTTGCATGGGACAAAGTACCATGGGTGGCTCATATCTATGTCACCAGGATAATATTATATGGTCCAGTGAGACCCGGATCAAAGACAATTGGCTCCTTAGCTCAGACAGTCTGTCGCCAGATCCCTTGAAGCACACAGTGTTGTTCATTCTCAGTGACCACACGGCCCTGTCAATTTTATATATTTGTTTGCATGTACAGACTGTAACGCCATCCAATTCATCGTCTAGAGTCTGGACCATAAGCCATTTGCAATCCTGTGTGTTGCTTTGATGGAAGCTCCCGACAAGTGGACATATGTAGATTTTGCATATACAGTGCATTTGGTAAATCACTTCAGACGCATCCCTGGGGAAGGTGCCACAGGCTCTGTCGCCCCTACAGATGGAAGCCGGCAAGGAAAAGATGGGCCCAGATTGGCCTCCCTGGGATACATGTGAGAGCAGATTGGAGGGGGCCAGAGTGGATAGGGGAGACCGAGAGGAGGGCCTAGGATTCTGAAATGCTGTGCAGCTAATCATTTCCGAGGTGTGTGTTGGAGCAGGGGGTGGGATGGCCAGGGGCAGAGGACAGAGGAAGCAGTGCTAGGAGCAGGAACTGGGAGCATGCTTCTGGCCACCCCAGCTCCAACCAGCCTCCGGGTGCATGCTTTTGTTGAGAATCGGTGAACAGATAGTTTTATCTCTCTTCCTTCCTTTTCGTTTTGGAAACAGTATTGCTATGTCACCCAGGCTGGTCTCAAACTCATAGACTCAAGAGATCCTCCTGCCCCAGCCTCCAAGTAGGTTGAAACCAAGCCACCACGCTTGACTAGACCTCCACTTTTCATAGGCGATTCCTTCCACTTTTCCCTGCAAATATCTTCCTCTTGGCCAATATTGACACAGTTGCTACCTGACCCTGCAAAAGGGTCTCTAATCTTTCTGTAATCTCACTGAATTTTCTTAACTCCTGTGATGAGCCCTAGTCACAACTAGTCACATCCTCGTTGTGTAGACCCCAAAGCTAAGGCTCAGAGGGATATAATAGCATGTCAGTTCACACAGTTGGCAACACAGTTCAGCCCAGGTGTGAACAGTTCTCTCTGACCCTACAGTTCACACTATCGTGAAGAATGTTCAGTGAAGACCGAGCAGTCAACCAAATAGGTGGTGGGGTTGCTCTTCTTTTGAGTTTGGCGTGACTCCTGTGGGTTTCTGAGCACTTGGGTTCTACTCAGCCCTTTCATTCATTAAACACATCTTCCTAAGCCAAGAAGTGGCTCAGACAAGGCTGGTGGCTGGAGGAGCTCACAGTCTCCTCCCAGAGACAGACTCCTAACCAGGTGCAACAATCCATACTGTAATAAACAGCGAAGAGGGCAGGTGGGAACTCTCTACCTGGAGGAGTCAGTGAATACCTCCAGGGCTTCCCAGGAGCTGAAATGCCTGAGCTGGATTGTAATGGAGAAATAGGCACAGGCTGGGCAGATAGGGAGGACCAGCCCTGGGAAGAGTGAACAGTCTGTGAATTCAGGAAGGCCTCAGAGAGTGTGCAAGGTTTCAGGGCCTGATTGACGGTGATGCGTATGTGGGAGGAGTCCCAGTTGACTGGGGCTAGGGTGTAAAGGACTCCATTGGAGATTGGGGATGGAGGTGTTCATGCTTGGGCTTTGAGTTGAGCACTTAGACGCTATGACTGTATTATCAAAATGAGGAAAGTCATCTTGAGCATGGCCACTCACGCTTGTAATCTCAGAGCCTCGGGAGGCTGAGACAAGAGAGTCCCAATTTGGAGGTCAGACTGGGCAGGTGAGCAAAATCCTGTCTCAAACAAATAAAAAGGGTTGGAGATGTAGCTCAGTGGAAAAATGTTCCTGGGTGGAGGGTCGGGGAGAGCAAGGAGAAAGAAAGAGGAAAGTGAGTTTTGGAGCAGAACTCCAAAATTCCCATCATGCTTGCTCTGTACCTTAAAATTGTTTGGGGGCTGGGATGTAGCTAGTGGTAGAGTGCTTGCCTGACATTACATAAGGCTCTGGGTTTGATCCCCAGAAACACACATATGCAGAAGTTTGAAAAATAAGACAGAATCTGTGTATTTACCATTCCAGTCAAGAAGCAAAATCTCAAAACGGGAGAAGAGAAGCCCCCTCCTACCACCTTAGCACATCTCCCTCTACCCCTCGAGGTAAATACTTCGCTGAATGGTATATTTATCATGCTTCTGAATGTCTTTGTGCATTTGCTACATCTGTGCAATTCTATGTTAGAGTATTTTGTTTTGCATGTTTTAAAAAATCGGTATAAATGATATCATATAATTTGATTGTCTGCAACTCACCCCCCCCCTTCACTGGCAGTTCGTAAGGAATCTCTAGTTACTCATTTCCACGGCAGTATAGCATTTCTCTGAACACTTCACAATTTGCTTATGCATTCTTCTGATAATAGACACTGAGGCTGTTTCAGAGTCTTCTTTAACCTAAATATTGTTTCAATGAGCAAGAGGCTCTCCAGGTATGTTCCATAGGAAAGCCTGGGTCACCAGGGTACATGCACCCTCAGTATTTTCAAAGCTGCCACATCATTCTTGAGTGGCTGTACCCACCCCTGCTCCAGCCAGCAGGGTACCAGAGTTCTCCACGCTCCATGTCCCTTCTGCCCCACTTTGTGCCAGTCTGACAAGTGTGAAATGACACTTTACAGAGGTTTTATTTTGCATTTCCCCGGATTACAAGTGAGGCTAACAATCTTTGCATATGTTTATTGGCCATTCATCGTTCCTTTCCTGCAAATTGCCTGTTCATATATTTCCCCAATTTTCTATTGTTTCTTTTGAAAATTGATTTATGAAAGGCCTTTGTATATTTTGGAGCTTGTGTCGCACATATTTCCCTTGATAAAAAGGAGTTTCAGGGGCTGGGGTTGTGGCTCAGTGTAGAGTGCTCACTTGGCATGTGTGAGGCACTGGGTTTAAAAAAAAAAGGAGTTTCATATTTTAATTAAATGTATCCATCCTTTTCTTGATGATTTGTGCTTTTCATATCTTTTTCAAGAAATCCTTTCCTCTTATATTGTGTGCATGTGTGTTTAAGTCTTCAGTACATCTGGAATTGATATTTTATGTGTGGTGTGAGATAGGGATCCCAAGTCACTTTTTTTTTTAGAACTGGGGATTGAACCCAGGGGCACTTAGCCACTGAGCCACATCCCCAGCTATTTTCTGCATTCTATTTTAAGACAGAGTCTGACTGAGTTGCTTAGGGCCTCACTCAGTTGCTGGGAATGACTTTGAACCTGCAATCCTCCTGCCTCAGCCTCTGAGACACTGGGATTATAGGTGTGCAGCACCATGCCCAGCACCCATGACATTTGAACCTTTTCCCCACAGATCTGCCGTGTCACCTCTGCCAAATATTGCTTCCATATATGTGTGGGTCTGTTTTTGCAGTCTTTATTCTAGTTCACTGGACTATTTATCCTTAGTCCAGTACCACTTGGTCTTGTACCTTTCTAGGCTTATACTTTGAATTAAAAGAGCAAGTGCCTTCTTGAGAGCAGATCCGAATGTCTTATTCTTTGCATTTTCACTCATTACATGAACATCCATGTAATGGATGTAATACTTTTGCTTACAAAAGGGTATTCCATAGACTGTCCTGGGACCCCAAACTCCTTTTTGCAGAAGAGGAAACTGAGGACAGAGGTGAGGTGGCTTGCCAAAGTCACACAACCAGAAAGTGTTGGATTTGGAGTTTTGTAAGATTTCAAAATCTTCTGCAAGCTTTCAAAGCCACCCCCATCTATTCACCCCATATTGTCCACCCTGTCCATGAATTCTTTATTGTCCAGGGTCTACAGACCCTGTATCTGATGTTCACTCCTCTTCCCCTTCATTCATCAAGTAGCTTCTGAGTGATGATGGTGAGCAGATGCTGGAGCCCAGACCCCATTTTCAGGGCCCTTCCTAGTGCGGGAGATCAGCCAGAAGGGGGGGGGGGTACTGCAGGTGTGCACGTTGTGGGACATCATAGGAAGCTTGAGGTCTTGAGGTCGGTGTAAGGAGGTCAGGCCAGATTTCAGAGCCGGTTTAGAGCCAACCTGGGCGTGCACTTGGGCCCAGGGCTGCCTCCAGAGAGGACGCCAGCTTCCCTCTGGAATTAGAGGCGTCCTCCCGCCCTCCCGCCTCGAGAGGCAGGAATGCGAAGGATCAGCTTTCAGCAGAGCTGCGGCTGCCTTTCCGGGGAGCTCCCTATGCAGGCCCTTCCCGAGCTGCCGAATTAACTGGTTCTGTCTGTCGGACTGGGAGAGCAGCTCTCGCTAAAAATAGCGCCCTGCCGGGGCCGCCGCAGTGGGAGTCGGAGCCCGGGCAGACCCAGGAATTGAGGGAGCCCTGCTCAGCGCCCATCCGGGCCTGGCCGGGGACTGACCCCGAAGCCGAGACCGCGGGCACAGCGCTGGCCCCACAGGTGCCGCGGAGGGTGGAAGGCCCGCGGGACCGGGAGCGGCAAAGCCCGTCCGGGATGGGAGCCGGCGGCACGGCCTCCCGCGCCCTGGCCTGGGCCTCCCTGCCGCTGCTGGGGCCTCCGGCCAGCGCGCTCTGCGAGGACACGCTCTGCTGCAGAGGTAAGGCCTGGGGCGCTCGCAGGGAGCCTCGTCTTCCTCGCCGACCCCGGGGCCACTGCCAGGGCCCAGGTGGGGCGGACCCAGACGTCGGTACAAGGTTCAGGGAGAGGAGCCCGGAGAACTCTGCAAACTCACCTTTAGTTTGAAAAGGTGGCGGTCCCGCCACCAGGTCCGAAAAGGGGTCGCCCCCATCTGGCCTCAGTGTTCCTGTCTGGAAAGTGGGACAATAAAATCGTTAAGGTTTAATATATCTCTCGGTCTTCAAGAGAAGTTGGGGGACCCGCCGCAGCCGATCGCACGAATGCGCGAGACGTTTGCCCGAGCCAGCTGGGGTCCTCGGGAGTTTGCATTGGTGCAAGTGTCGAGGTGCCTTCCGGGTGACATCTCTGCGTGCTGTCCTTTTCCAAAGCTCTTGTCCTCTCTTAGGTCCTTAGGGCCAGAAGCTGCAGATGGAAGCAGAAAGCACTGGAAAGTTTAAGGGGTCAGCAGACATACGAAAATCCTTGCGGGAGGGCAGTGTGGGTTGGCAGAGGGGTGATTTTGAAAGCAAAGTCGAGACCCGCTGCTCGGTGCCCTACCCCTATAGCCCTGGAGCTAAAGCCAGGGGAAGGACCCCGGCTGGCTAGCTGAGCCGCGGGCGCGCTCGATCGCGCCAGGCCTGGGGAGCGGAGGGGGCGTGTAGCTCCGCCTGGATCCCGGGCCCTCGGCGGGGCCGGGCTCGGGCTGGGCGCAGAGGGGTCGGCCCTGCCCAGTCCGGCCGGGGCGGGGCGGCCGTGATGGGGTCGATCGACCAAACAGGTGCGCCCCCGCCCCTTCCCTCCACGCCCCTGCTCGGCCCCCGGCCGGGCGGGCGGAGCTGCAGGCGGCTGGGCCTGGGATTGGCAGGGCCGGGCTGGCCCGGTGGCCGAGGAGTCCGGGAGCCGGAGAGCCGCGGCGCCGGGGGAGGTGCGGAGCCGACGGGAGCGCGCTCCTGTCGGACCTGCTTCGCTCGACCCAGCTGGCGCCACGGAAACTTTCCTGCCGCCGCCCTGGGACCCCGGGACCCCGCGTGCCAGTGACTCGGCGGCTTCGCCAGCATGGCCCTGGGTGGCTCCAGCTCCGGCGCCTTTGGGATGGCAGCGCCCGGCGGCCAGGCCGGCGCGTAGAGGTAAAAGCTGGCGACCGCGGGTCAGGCGGAGGGGGCTCTGCAGGCTTGAGGGATCCGAACCGGGTCCAGGGCTGGAGAGGAGCTGGGGGCTCGGATGCAAAGTATTGGGGTGCAGGACTGAGTAGTGGGCTGCAGCTTTGCTTTATTTACCCCTCTTTCACCTACAGCCTCCTCTCCCGCGGGGACTTCTGTACCAAATGTTGACCCTTTAAACTTTGCTGAGCGTTACCCTCTATCTTTGACCTCGGGGCTCAGGGCTGCCGCTGGGTCCTCCGGAGAGGAGGGTGTCACGAGGAAGGCACCCCAACTGGGGCCCGCACCAGCAGAAGTTGAGGTGACCAGGAGTCTCCCAAAGCTTCAAACCCTTTCACCTCTCCCCACCAAGGCAACCCTGGCTGTCCAGAGCCAGGCACCCCAGAGGTCCCCAAATTTGGGGTATTTTTGTTGTTCTACCTAGCCAGTTCTCAGTTATGAAAGGGCAGGGGGCTGAAGTGAGGTCTGTTTTCTGTTTCCTGTCTGCTTTGAACCCCACCCTCCATGAAAATGCCTTGAGCAAAACAGAGCGAAAACCCGGACCAAAACCTTCTAGCTTCCGGCTCCCAGCCTGGGGGCAAGGGTATCTGGGTTTTCTGGTTGCTGGATGGTTCACACTTGAACTATCTGGTGTGTGCCTGGCTCTACACCTGCCCTTTCTGTCCTGCGGGGGGAAGATGGGATTCTATCTTAATTTTAATTGTGGGTGCGTAAGTAGATAGCTCATCACTAATGAAGATCATAATCAAACATTATCCCCTCTGAAACATTAACTCCTTTCTCCTTTTCTTTATCTGAGATTATAAATCTGAGAGTGTAAAACCAAACACCCAGTTTCGGAGCCCGGAGAACCTGGATTGAAACCTCAGACCCTTCTGCTTGCTAGCTGGGAGCCCTTGGGTGGGATTCTTAACCTCTCTGAGCTCTAAAGTCCCATCTCAGTGGGATGTAGCGAGACATTTGTGAGGTAATCGTGGAAGGCACCTGGTTCATACAGAAGGCTTGAGGAGCCAGTCTGCACCCTGGACCTTGAGCCACCTTGTTGCTTGAGGGATAAGCACCCCCTGCCTCAGTTTCCCCTCTCTTCAGAATGAGTAAAGCCCAGACTCTTCTCAAGCAGCCCCTTTGAGGAAAGTGCAGGGATGCACACGCACGCCCTTGGGGACACTTTATTGAAGAATGCCCCACCCATTTTCTTCCCTGCCATTAGCCATGCCAAGAGTGTCAGGCCTTGCCTCGGCTCCCTTTGGGTCCTTGGGGGTAACTATTAGTAATATCAGGGCCTGTCCCCCCCCACCCCACCCCAGGACCTTGGCTTCTGCAAAGGAACCAATTACCAGCATGATGGGGAGAGGGGCTGACCTGCAGAACCTGGCCCCAAGTCACCTTCAAGATCATCTAGGCCACCCCTTCTCATTTTTTTCCCCTGGTGCCACACCCCTGTCTGGTGAACATCTAGTCTTTTCCTCTAGGATCCTCTAGTAACAGTGAGCTCACGAGGCAGCTGGTTTCATGATTGGGCATCTCCAGTCTATCAAAAAATTCTTCCTGTTTAGAGCAGAAGTCTGTGTCCCTGTTACTTCTACCCACTGATTCTAGCACAACCCTTCAGGCATCTCTTACTGGCTCAATTATTCACTGAGGTCCCCTGGTGCCTGGCATTCTGTTCCTATCCTCAGGCATTCAGCACACTGGAACTGAGTTTGGCAATGATCACAGCACCATTTATTGAGTGTTTATTATATGCCAGGGCCTGTGCATCCTTAAGACAACCTCATGAGACCGATCATTTTTTATCCTCATTTTGCCTATAAAGAAACAGGTTTAGAGAGACTAAGGGACTTAGCCAAGGTCATATAGCCAGTAAGGTCTGGGCTGTACCCCAAACCCAGCCTCTGGATTAGCACCCATTTGATATTTCCTCCCACTCTTTCATACATGTCCATGTGTGTGCACGTGAGCACATGCATGTGTGTGTGTGTGTGTGCACGGTTCATGTACATGCTCCTGTGCCTGTGGTGTGTGTCAGGTACTTTCATCATATGAATGCGGGGGAGGCACCCAATAAAATGCAAATTCCTCATCTTTACTCTAGACTTAGGCACCTGCCTTGAAAAAAATTCTCCAAGCCATTCTCTTGCACAGCACCCTTTGAGAACCATAACAGTAAGGAATTCTTAGGAAGAGAATATGGCATGCAGGTCCCAAGAAGTCTCAACTCCAATCTTGGCATCATTCTTTTAAGCTGGTTGCTTTTTTGGGGCTTCCTCCCCACTTCAGAATGGGCATGCCCTTACACCCTCAGCAAGGTAATTGCTGTCTGTGGGAGTCCCCAGGTGGATATCTGGGACTCTGGGGTAGGCCCTGGGGACAAAGGAGCCTGGTGAAATTTTACTAGTGGATGTGCAGGGGGATGGGCCTGTTACCCCACCCCCACCCCCACCCCAGGACCTTGGCTTCTGCTTTGTGGTAGGTCTGGCACACCTTGGGTGAGGCCCTTGTGCTTGGGTTTCTCAGTCAGGTTAGGGGGTACCTTGGAGAGGAGGGCAGGACTCTTTTCCCCTACATACCTTCCTCCTCCATCCTCCCACGGTGGCCTCTGACCTTCCCATGACATGAGGCGCTGGGCTGAATCTCTGGGGGAGGGGAATGGGCTGGTTCTGCCATGTGCACATCTGCAGTTTGAATCTGGTAGAAAGAAATCCCTCTCTCTCTCTGGAGGGCTGCTCTGCTGGCTGTGGGTAGCTCTCGGGAAATGTGTCATCTGAGGACCTCTGGGCTGGGCTGGGCTGGACTGGGCTGGCTGGGAGGGCTGTGGGGTGAAGGGCTCCCCTACACAGACCTCAGCAGTGTCGCCTTCCGGCTCCGGGCTCTGCTCTGCAGAGAGGGCTTGTTCTGCTTTATCCTCTTTGATCCTGCTGAAGGCACAGAAGTATTAAACACCCATTTTATGGAAAAGGTCGCTGGAGTCCAGAAAGCTGCAGTGACATGTCCAAAGCCCTAATGTGTGTGGGAGGTGCGGGGGAGGTGGCAGAGTAGGGACTGGAACTCAAATCCCCCTGACGATGTGCTCTGGCCTTTTTTGTGCTGTATCCCACACCTCGATGTTTTCTGCACCCCCCCCCCACGAGGCTTTGGTGCCAGAGCCTCTGTCTGGAAGCAGGAAGCCCTGGGCTGTGATCGGCTGTGTGACCCCCCCCCCCACCGTGTGATCCCCGGGCAGGGCTGGTGTTCTCTTCACATCCCAGGCTGTGAAGGGGGTGGAGTTGAGGTCATTCAGCTTGGTCCCTAAGGTTCTTGCAACCTTGACCTTCATGGGCTGTACTTTTGCCTGCAGTTCTGGGGAGAGAGAGTCCTTGATGGGCTCAGGGCATGAGGGACCGGTCGGGTCAGGCAGCAGGGTGCCGCACAGGGAGTGATGAACTCAGCCAGAAAGTCTCTTATGGACCTGGGGTGCAAAGGGCCCGGAGCACTGGGCAGAGGGAACGGCAGCCAGAGAAGCCCAGGGTGGGGTGAGGTTGCTCACCTCCCAAGGAAACAGTCTCTCGGGCTCTGAACACGCGGAGGGTGATGGTGGGTCCTGGATGGAAACCAAGTGGGGAAATCAGGGTTCTGGGAACAACCCAGCTGGAGTCCCCCTCTAGTCTGGAGTGGGCTGTGTGGGGCCCCTTCTCTCCCTCCCAAGCTACCGATGCCTCTCCTGGGGCTTCCTCAGCCTCCCCTGACTCCAGCCCTGACAGAATGGCTCTCACCTCTCCCTGGAGCAGCTGGCTGAGGTGACCCAGCTGCCTTCTCCCCGTGCGGGGGTGGGGGGGCCCTGGCAGCCTGGCCTCCTGAGGCAGGCCCTTGATAGCTGGGCCTTGTTAGCTACCTGAGTCTTCTTCCTCTCCAAGAATGGCTCCCTGTCACCCACCACCGCAGGAGACCCGTGTGCCCTGGCCAGCAAGGCCTCGTGTCGGTCTCCCTCAGATCTTCAGATTTCGTGCTTCCTGGTCTCTGCCTGTGACTCCCAGAAGGCCTTTCTCCCTTCTGCCACTACTTCATACCTAAATTATGACTTCCCTCTGGGTCCAGCACAAATGTCACCTCCATTGGGTTTCTTCTTCCTACTCAGAGTGGGCTGCCCTCTGCTCAGTGCTGGCTGAGTTCTGACGAACCGACCTGCTTTACACTTCCCTGTGGGCTTGTCTGTCTCCCACGATGGGCTCTGAACCTCTTGAGGCCGCAGAACTGGCCTTGTGTCATCTTAGTGCCCACATAATGGGTGTGGCCTGGCAAGGGCCTTCCTTGGTCTAGTCAATGCTCATCCAGCTTTGTGGCCTTGGACTGGCTTTGAACCAGGCTGCTTTTGACTCAGAGCATTTTCCCTGCACCCAGCTCCCCGCATGATCAGGTGGGGAGTCTCTCGGTTCATGCCTCGCACTGGGCTGGCTCCAGCTGAGGGATAGCGAGGGTTTCTTTGGGTTTTTGCAGAAAGACATCCCTGTATTCTTTGGTTCATTTTTTTTTTTTTGCATATTAGGCTCTTTTTTAAAA